CTATTTTATTATATTTATTATATTTAAAATAATATAATATAATATACTTATTATATTATATTATATTATTTTACATTTATATTATATTATTATATTGTTTCTTATTTAAAAAATATTCTTGTCCTTGTTGTTGTCGAAGTGCTCTTCGTCATCCTGCCCCTGGTCATCATTTTTGTCCCAATCCTCGTTGCTGAGTTGTTCCTTATCCACGATGTCGGATTGTTCCTGTTCAGAGTCCTGGTGAAATTGTTCCTCTTCAATGTCCCGGTCAGATTGTTCTTGTTCAGGATCTTGATCAGATTCTTGTTCGTTTTCCTGACGGTCATCATTTTCGTATCGTCGGCGATATCTCCGGAATGCCATATTAGGCTCCTGCCTTCTATCATTCCTTTCAAATCTGTTTAGGCGGTTGCGATGTCTTTGTTTGGCAGTCCGTAAAGCATCGGTAACTGCATGCCTGAAATGAAGTAATAATTTCAGTACCTGTGGCTTTGTAACAAATAATAGCATATTATATCTTTAGTATTTACTTAAACTCATCGTATTTTGGTACTGCCTCACTATTGGATGTTGCTGTCTTTGCTATTGCACCTAAAGAAAATTTAAATGCACATAATTATTGTACATAATTGTATATAATTATTATATATAAATATTGTATATAATTTTACATAGTAGGAGAATAAAGGAAGACGTATTATTCGCGGAAATCTCTGATGGATTAAATGTACTATTAACATACTGTGCAAACTATACATTCTTGTTTTTCACTATATGATACCACAAAAACAATATTACATAAGAAAACATTATTATAAAATACTTTAAAGATAGAGCAAAAAGAATACATACTGTATATTGCATCGACTAATACGGTATTTCGCATGGATATTTTGCCATTGTTGCCTGACCATGTAAATCTATGGCTGAAAGCATCGTCGAGAGACTTCTTCAAAATTGGATTAATGTTTTGTAATGTAGCTCCTAAGTATTCGAAATACAACACCT